TTGTATTCTGATCAGTACACGATTCGCCTTTTCTGAATCCAGCTTGTTCCGTTTGGTGGAGTTTCGTGTCCCAAGCTTCATTTAACTCTCCAGTATGACGCGATTTAGTATTTTATTTGGCGTGGACAAGAGCATGAGTCAACGTCAGTTCTTGCAGGGGACTAGATCACCCTTCCCTGATAGTTTGGCGAGATGTCTGTTCTTCCATTCGTCAGGTACCTTTCCCCTCTTCCAACCCTTTCGCAACAGTGGTGTCAGCATATTCAATGAGGTCTGTGGACCCATTTTAGTGCTCCCAGAATAATTCCATCTTGTCCTCCTACCTCCCTGACCGGCTTTCAGTAGCTTTGAGTCATCCAAGAAGTCTTATTTTGTCGTGGGATTACTGTCCTCTTGCAGCTATATGTCTGTTGACGGTGGTAGTTCTGGACGAGTAGCAGGTGATGGTCAGTTTAGGAGTCCTTCGAATTAATCAGCCCGTTGTTTTATTTGTTACCCGTACCTCTTACGCTTCATTATCTTTCTTTGATTTTATCTGTGTTGATCTCTCACTGGATAATGACCTGGGAAATCTGATATAATGCTCTCATGTCTCTTTTGCCTGCAGTCTGTTCAGTGTGTTTGTGTGCCGTAGAAATGTCTTCTGTCCTTCTTAGCACTCTTCTCCACTTCTTTATTCAGTGTCTTATACATTGAACTCAGCTTCGCCTTTCGTTGTCCATCTTTGCATTGGTTCATCTTCTGTTTCACCACTCTCATCTCTCATATTAGCTCCCAGGTGTCCGTCGAAAGTCATTCCATGACTTGCCTCTTCTTTCTTCCTAAAGCCACTGCCAACGTTTCTTCCAACATCACTTTCATAGAGTTTCAGTGTTCTTTCTCACTGGTGTCCTCGCTGATGTTACGTAATATCTCTAACCTTGTTGAGTGCCTAGATATCTGATGAAATAAAAGTGCTTGAGAAGGGATTAAATTTCAGTGTAGCTGTTAATAGAGTAAAAGTCTGTAGCCTATCTCTGATGGTTGTAGTGAACGAGTCCCCTGTAGTTTTGTCCCACATTTTCTGAGTGGTCTGTCTCCAGTATTTTGAAGGCTTTCAGCTTGACCTTGAGGCGTCGTTGCATTGAATTATGGTATTCACCCACACCTGCACCTCTTCTCGACCGTGTGTCCAACAGACTGCGTCTCCACTTTCTTCAAAATGAAATGAAGTACATCTGATTCTTGGTGTGTGGTGTGTGTGTGTCGTCAGGATAAATCACGTCGCCTTGTGTATATCCTTGTGTTTGTACACACTGCTCCCGATCACCGGATCATTGAATGCACAGAAGTCTTCGAAGACTCCTCTGTCCTCATTAGTTTCGTTGAGAGCCTGCCGACTCATGATGGATAATCTTGCTGTATCTTTTGCTTCCAGTCAAGCATTCATATTGCTCCTTAGGAATTTGATGTCACCATTTTGCGTCTTATCCCTCACTATTTGCAGCTATCTACGGAAATCTACCTTCTTCTGCAGGTCTCTGTTGTTTGTAGGTGCTTAGCACTAGATAACTACAGCACTCTTTCCTCCTCTCTGAGTTGAACCTTGCTGTAATTATCCTGAATAAAATTTGAACCCAGTGCATAAGATTCTTTCATGCTGTTTTTAAATCATAATAGCCACCTCATAATGTGCTTGTGGTTAACTTCTGGATGACCGCAGTATATTATTAACTATTTCGTTAACAATTTGTAGTGTCCACCTCCATTCCATCTACCCTCACAGATTTCTCGTACTTTTATTCTATGTCTTCTTATTTATTTCGCAATCTGAGCGGCCTTACCTGTTAGTCTCAAAAATTGTGAGAATATTCCATTGCTGTCATAGAAAAATGACATATCTGTTGACCGGTCTCGGAAATGCTTTCACCAGGCAGCGAATTTATCTAATTTCCGTATTTGTGTTTTCAAGCAGTCTTAGCGATTCGGTTGTATTTTGCACGAATAGTCCATTTAAAACACTGTCAACCGTGTTTCTTTCTTTCCGGCCATAGGAAGGGCTTGCAAACTAGGGAACTTGTAAATTAGGCGAGATTCTAAGTCTAGTTGCTTACTTTAGTAACTATGATAATCCTCCAGATTTGCTTTTCACATAGGTTTCTGCTGTCAGTTTTAATCAAGTTGTGTTGGTGTGATACATACAATGTGTGCCAACGGAATATGATTCTCACATATTCCCACAGTTCAATTTGGCATTAGCAACAGAATACGATATATCTACTTGAACATTCTATTTCATGTTGTTTAATGTATATGCCAAAATCACAAACTCAGTGATTGGTTAAAGAATATAAACCGTATAGATATAAATAGCGTTTTTATCAGTGGAAACTATACCTTGGCTTCCATGTCTTGCCTTCTGCTGTTATAGAGTAACTATGACAGCTGACAATTAAAATCTAACAGACATCATTCACAATTCAGAAAACAATATTATTTTGCTTATAAGACTCTATGATATATATCTGTAAATATGAAAGTTTGTTAATAAATTATAGGCATATGAATACTAGTCAAATTAATGGCTCTAACTCTAGCCTTATTCCTAAGCTCCTTCTTGATATAGGAAACTTGTTGACAGTTTGAACAGCCTGTTTTCGACGAGCTCTGTGTAATATTAAATACTATGCTATGCATCAAAAGTACTACATCCCTTTTTTTAAATAACTTTTTGAATGCTTCTGGATAAATTTTTGACATAGAGCGGCAAAGTTTGGTTAAAAGCGGAATTTAATGTTGTTGTTTTATTGATTGGTTATCTTATCTTACATTTTGGAAGTTTAATCGTGTATATCATCTGACTGAAATGGGATAGAATGACTTCAACTTCAAGCACCTGTTAGAATGTGCTTTTGTTTTGTATGTATTGGCGTCGTCGCATCTTCTAGGTTGTCCTCAAATTCAGTATGCATTATCTCAAAAGTAATGCATATCGCATCTTCACATCACAGAAAGAACCAGTGTACGTGAAGCAGCAGACTGCCACAATGATTAAGCAGGTGCAAATCATCCCACGTTTGCTGCTGTCAAACTCTGGTGTTATGGCCTCTTTCGTTGTGTACTACTGCTTTCTCCGTTGCAGAGAATAATATATTTTCCTAAAGCAAGAATGTTTTATGACAGTGTCCTCTGATTCACATTATTTTGTTGAGGCTTGGACAAAACATATTCATAATCACTAAGCGCAGATGTTTTCGTCACATTCTAGCGCAACATATTTTATCTCTGGAGTATATGGAAACACTATGGAAAACTAGTATCTTCAAACTGGTTTATTCATGCGAACTATTGCAGCTATGAAGTGATCATTTCTGACTGACTGACGGAACTTTAAATATAGCCATTTAAATGACTGCCTCAGAGTTTCAGCACACTTTGATTTCATAATTTCCAGCTAAATTATTTCAGAAGGTTTGAATCTGAATTAAACGATTCATTTTTGAACTCCGAAGCTCTCAAAAATGAAAACTTATCCAAGCACTGTTTTTTTCTGAAATTACTCCTACAGACAAATATTTTTAGTGTATTTTTCATCGCATACTTCAATTTGAACTGAGCTTTCAGATTTCGCCATGAGTTTGTTAGTCATCTACCCTGGTGACCTTGAACGTGATTGCTTGTCTTCGTGTGTTTTCATACCCTCTAGGCTACTTGTATTGGAACTGATTGTTTCCTTGACTTCAACTTTGACCCCTTGTGTGTAACATTTTCTTCTTATCAGTTGGTAAATTTTGTCTAAGCCAATGTGTCTATTGACGATTGACGATTGACTGGAATACTAGGCTTCTAAAAATTATCTAGCATTCTTGGTGTTTCCTCTGCATAAAGGCTCGAAAACATAATCCTACCAAAGATCAAACCCAAAATTTGGATACGTTACGTAGATGACTCATTTGTAATAATCAAAAGAAACAATTAGGATGAAACTCACAACTTAATAAACAAAGTCTTCAACGTCATCGGATTCACAAGAGAAGAAAAATCCGAGAGCGAAATCCCATTTTTGGGCGTTTTAGTCAAGCGAACAACCACAGGGGAATTAGAAACTCAAGTTTATGGAAAATCAACTCACACAGACCAAATACTGAATTACAATAGCAACAATCCAATAACACACAAAAGGAATTGTATACAAACATTATTCAAGAGGGCCAAGATTCATTGCAGCACTCCCACCTTAAAGAAAATTGAAGAAAGATATCTCATGAACGTCTTCCAAAAGAATGGATATCCATGGAATTTCATCAGAAGATATATACCCTCAATCTAACCTATCAAATAAAATGCCCCCAAGGAAAGCACAAAGAAAATCGCCATACCATATATAAAGGAAATCTCAGAAATCACAGCAAGACTCTTCAAACCTTTAGGAATTGACGTCGCACACAAACCAAAAAAATTACTCCACTCATCTCTGTGTCAACCAAAAGACTCGATAGATAAGTAGATAAAACCAACATCATCTACAAAATAACGACTGCGAGAAACACTACATTGGCCAAAGCGGACGTCTCCTTCGTCTTCGTATCCATGATCATAAGCTAGCCATCAAAAGACATGACATCCACTCCCTCATATCACTACGTACAGACAACCAGGGACATCAATTCGACTGAGACAGCGTTCAAATATTAGACAGAGGAAACACCAAGAATGCTAGATAATTTTTAGAAGCCTAGTATTCCAGTCAATCGTCAATCGTCAATAGACACATTGGCTTAGACAAAATTTACCAACTGATAAGAAGAAAATGTTACACACAAGGGGTCAAAGTTGAAGTCAAGGAAACAATCAGTTCCAATACAAGTAGCCTAGAGGGTGTGAAAACACATCAAAATCATCCACTTGAGCTATACATATTCTTCATCAAATTCAGTGTATTTTTGTTGTTAAGTTAGCAAAAAGTTATGTCTTCAAGATATTTTCAGGTTTTATAAGAATTCATATTTGCATATTTGCAGCATCTTATATTTATTCAACGACTGAACTCGTCAACAATGAGCTTAATCAATGAATATGTGTGCCAGATGACCAATAACTCATGTACCCGGGAAAGTCGAACTGCAAAAAATGCAAATCTTAAAGTAAAATCCAAAAGAGTAACTACTGTCAACAGAATGAACAAATATTTTATTTTTCATTCTTACAATGAAAATGAATCAACTAAACATAGGTAAGCTTTGTATTGAACTATATTTCACATGAATTCAACGCACAGACTTCATAAAACCTGAAAGCTAAGGAAACAAAGTTAAGCAATGCACTAGGTCTCTTGCTATGTGCCCAGTTGTTACGTTTAGAAAGAATACCTAGATGACACACAGTGAAGGATTGATTTGCCTTTCAGTATATCTTATCAATGACTCAATTTAGTGCGTCTTCGTATTAATTATACCTCATATCTCCAAAGAATATAACGTACAAATAGTAATTGCTGTAATTATACAAAGGTTAATTAATGTGAAAAGGAAGTAATAAAGTTATACAACGTGAAGTTTAATAGATGTAACAGTCAATTACTAGGAGATATGAAATTCTACTACTTTATCACAACGTAGCAGGGAAGTGAAGAGGTCAAGTTTCACTTATTTCCTTTCATTTATAAACCTTAATGAATTCAAAAACGCGCTTGAAAACTAGCATTGTGTTACAAACAAATCAGTTCTTCGCTAAAGAATTCGAGATTCAAGCATAAGATGACGTAAACTAAAGTTCTATCAAAAACCCCAATAAAATATTTGCAACCTCGAAAATATAGTAAAAAAGTTAAAAGTAGTTAGCCTGATAATTTCAGTGTGGGAATTTGCATCGTTTTGGATATAGAAGTGAAAAGTAGAGCAAATTAGAGGAAAAATGAGAGAGAAACTGCTGTTGAAAATGACCCGAATGCAACCTGATAGCATTTTTAACTGTTAGGTTTGTTAACAACATAACAAAAACACATTCAAAGAGAACGCAGTCAGTAATCAGTACAATTGTGGTGGTGTTATACAGATAATATGTGCCAATGGAATATGATTCTCACATACTTCCACAGTTCAATTCGGCATAAGCAACATAATACGGTATTTCTATTTGAACATTCTAGTTGATGCTAAAGACAGAATACTTTTCCCACAGTTATATACTGCATTAGCAACAGAATACTACGTATATTTGATCATTCTATTTTATGTCGTTTAATGTAAACCGAAATCACACGCTCAGTAATTGGTTAAAGAATATATATATATATATAAAGTGGTTTTATCAGCGTAAAATATACCTTGGCTTCCGTCTCTTGCTTTCTGTTGTTACCTAATGACTAAATTTTTAGGAGAGTTTCGTCTAAATAATAATCCAGTCACAGTATGGAACACATATATTAGAATGGAACTAGTTTAGTATCCTCATTGTTTGTTTGATAAGATGCTCTGCAAGTCACCATGAGAACATATCACAATAAATTCTCATTAGGGAAGAAATTGAGATAATTCCTACAGAAATCGAAACTCCACCAATGAATAGCAACATATATGCTAAAATATGCATATAATCAACTATTCTCACACATATTTATGCATTGGAGTTCCAATTTGAATGAACGTTTTGAATTACTGCTGGTTTTCAAACCTTGGTTCACGTGTTGTTTGTTCTGTTTAGTAGCAGTGTAGCAGACAGATTGGACTTCTAAAGTGATCACGATAAGATTTCAATTGTATGACGTTTTGATATCACGTGACTGAAATATGCAGGACAACTCATCCGTGTGCAACACTGTGTTTTTACATGCTCACTGTCCAAGGAATACTTTAACTAGAAGCTAACTCTTTTTGATTGTCAAAACAACTCCATATAATGTCAAGAAACCCATCTGATAAGATGTGTTTTCTCTACATTATTAAAAATGGGAAACTGTTAAGAATATATATTTAGTCCTAGAGGTCGAAACTTGTGTTCGCGAACGTAAAGGAGACACTGTCATAACCTTGTTAACTTTAGGGGTAAATAATTATGTTGTTGTCTGGTGATGCAGCTATTTACTGAAATCTGCATATACGTTAGTAGGTTTCAATACACTTTCTCAGATCTTTTATACACTACAGAATACTTACTAAAGCACTTGAGTTAAAATGAACACTATTCCTTCAACAAATATTAATTTCTAATGAAACTGAAACAACAGAAGACAAGGGCCAGGCAACAGATCGTTTATTAAGGAAATCAAAGCATATTTATATATTTTCATGTACCATTGGATCGGGTCCCAGTGGCTCAAGGGTCTACGAGCTCGCCTTGTAACCAGAAGGTCCTGGGTTCGAATCCCGGTGGGCGCGTACTGCTGAAGAGTCCAAACTAGGACGAAACAGCTGTCCAGTACTCCCAGGTTTTCCAGTGGTTCTCTAACTGATGTCAGCTCATGATGAAATCCTCCATGCAATTAAACAAAATCCCTACCAAACCAATACTTGGAAAAATTATTGTAGTTTAGTTAAGCAAACAAACACAGTCTTCTGATTGGTTGTTTCTCACTGAAAGTTAATCTCTTTGTGACTGTTTTTTGAATGTCAGATCATCTATATGTTAACTGTATCCGCCTACTTAAAGTCTGCTGTGGTCGGTTTTGAATCAATCTTTGTTGATATTTTCTCACGACAAATCTTGAGAACGTAAACATTGACGTAAATTACTGTCTATCAATTTGGCTAGTAGACACCTCTCACCACAAAACTACATATCCATAGGTTTAATATTCATTGTTAAACAAATTAATTCCATCCGTATTCCGAATTAGCTTATAATGTCTTCCAAAAAGAAAACTGAATCAAAAGTGTGCCTAATTTATTGATACAAATAGCCAAGTCACTAACCTTTAGTATTATGTGAATTAAGTCGCCAGAATGCTTTAGCGATTTAGGAAGTGCTATTAAATACTCAGCATGAAAATTCCGTATATTTACATAAAAAGCTAGTTTAAATAAACAATAAAACTCTGCCACATTCAAGAATACCGATTCACCTAATGATAGAAACAGAGCTGCATTTGACAGCAGTAGGGATACTGGTGAGTCGCCTTACTTCGGGACTCCGTGATACCGGTTGAAATCTTGGACGAAAGCCTATTATTTTCTACGGTTCACTCTGACCATTGCTAGTCAATGATATGAAAAACGAAATATGGGTAAGACCTTTTTTATATTGCGATTACGGATTTTATAGTTCCACGTCGTGACAGATTTGGACTCCTATTGTTTACCGAAATGACTAGTTTGACCAAATAACACAACAAACACGTGTAAATATGTTCGACAATAATGCTGAATTTATCTACTTACACACCCTCATCAATTTCTTCCTATCCTTTACTTTTTACAGTGTCAGAAGTTTCGTCATAAAAGTGGATAGTATTAGGAATATGGAATTGCGTAACTTGTTTCTTCTCGAAAAACCAACAGTGAAAAAACCGAAATTCGGTGAGTATTACTTCAGAGATTGCATATTAACACTAAATACGTATTATTCAGCTGAATTACACTTATTAGTTGGCTGATTGATTGCTGATAACATTCAGTACTGTTCTTATTAGTCAGCAGTTTGATTCAAAGCTAAAATATGTACTGAAGATCTTGAAAGGGATTTTCCTGTTAATTTTGTTAAATTGTATATATGGAAGAATTTGGAATCATAGGTTGTGTATCGTCGTGGGGAATTTGTTTAACGAAAAGTCAAATTTTTTCTCTTCACAGTGGTTGCCTACCTGGTTTGCGAAAGTGCTAGTCTAGAAAATGGGACTCTAATATCAGTAAGTTGACTATATACCTGAAAACAGAAATATTTTTTTCACTTTCATGATGAATATTAACTGCTAAATAACTTGAATTATTGAAGCATCCGTAGGTTGAGAGCTTGAAATTATTTTTTCACCTTTCCGAATTCACTGGCAAGGTAAATGCAGAATATGGATAAAACTAATGTCATCATACACACTGCAAACTAGATCATGTAATAACATAGTAAAAGAAGTTGCTGCAAACCATATCTTATTTTTGGTTGAATTATCTTAAACTAAAGTATCAAAGACAAAACATTGATCATAAGAAGTAATCCGTTTTGTGCTGATCGGTTAAGTTGATAATCTCAGTCTCCACAGCTCAACTATCAGATGAAGTTCTTATTGTCTTGGGTATAAATAGGCTTACAACGACATAAGAATAACGCTCAAGAATTCAAAATTGAAAATTTAGTACTGATTAATACGCTAGACATGTGCAGCGAATTACAAACACAGCCGTTAAAATGGTTCCGGTTCCAGTAAAACCTTGTACTAATTTTTGCATTATGATGTGTTCATATTAGCATTCTCCTTAATCACATCAAATGTCTAAATATTAAATTGGATAATATAGACTATCTCACTCCTTAAAGCTGCGTTTATTCAGCTTAAATTTCAATTCTAATTTGAAGACAACCGGTTGTTGACTTCATTAGCTTAATTTCACCTGTCTAATGCCTTATTCTTTATATTTACTTTTTGAAGGGTTTCAGGCTACTATTTTCATTGTCTGAGTTTTGATCAGTTACACTATAGACTTACATCGTTATATCCACCACTCACTGCCCATTCTACTTACGTAATCTGTGAAGAAATAAAAGAGGAAAGCACAAAATTTCAATTTTAACAAATATGTCTGTCTGCTTTTGAAGTAAACATCCATTTCTTCCTTTCTGTAATGTTCATTTGACCAGTAATATAAATAGAATTCAGACAACCTTGTGAAAGTTGTTTTCAAAACTTTACTGAAAACAAAATTATTAAGCGGCTAGAATAGTGTGACGAATTATTTCCACCTTATCAATCTTAATGAAATTTCAAGTGTTGTGGTTGTTTTTTCCATGTATCAAGTTTCCTGTGAGTTGTTTATTCATTTATAAAGACATCCTCGATTCTGTGTCTGATTTGTGTACCTAATTATATTAAGGGTGCTAAAACTAACTGAGCAAAATTACATGAGAATTTGAGAATGTGTCATTTAAGAGTGGTTTTTGGAATCCATTTGATATGAGGCATGATGTTTCACTAAACATCATGGGTGAAAACGGAATAAGTTCCGAGTCATTGTTTCAGAGATATTTCCGTTGAAAGACAATTTCTTCACTTTATATGGAAGGTGAACACGCTGAAATTAGAGACCATAGTTAGTACTGCAATATTTATCTTCGCTTTCGGGAATAATTTGTTAATACTGCAAAAAATAAATGCCAACAGGGTATATATTAACAACTGATTCTAGGTGATTCACATTTTTGTTTCTGCGATTTCCCTGATGAATAACGAAGCAATAGATGTGTGTAAACAATAGCTTTTGATAAATGCATGAACGGCCCGTACTACGTAGATATACGTTTTGTGTTTAACGCCATTCATTTTGTTCAAACACTATCAAGTACACCACATTTTAAAGGCAACCAATATTTTATTTTTCCTTGATTTTGGATTACTTCATATCAAACACTCACTCCTTTCAGTACTGAAACATTTCACGTATTGATTTGGGGAGTTGGAATTTTACGACACATCATTTTTAACGTATGAGTAATGATAATGGTCTCATTCAAATTACTCGAAATCTAAATCCGTATGTGGACCTCACATTAAAAATCTAGTTTATTCAGCTGTTTCGATTTCTGAACATCAAAAAGGAGTAATTTTAACACTTAACAGGTAAAGTATATCAAAGTGTTTTGAGTAATAAATTTTCTACCATGGAACTTATGACATTTTCGTTGTTTACTCTTACCGGACGGTTATAACTGTTCGCCATTGGTGTATCTGCTCACAAAAGGAATTCGCTGGTTTTATTATTACTGTTATTATTACTATTATTAGTTGGTGACTACGGTTTTCTTTTGATCCAAAATCCATAAGCTGTATATAATCACTAAAAGACAGACTAAGGTGAGAGTCATCATGCAGCTGTCCGTTTTATGAAGCCATATTCTGAAAGAGATTGATTATGTACATCCAGTATGAAGAAAGAGAGTCGAATTCGCAGGTTTCAATTAATATTATCTAATACTGTCTACTCAAGAAGTGGTTCGGGTTCAGTTTCGCAGATGACACACACCAAAATCTCGCCCAATTTACTAGCCGACAGTATTCCCAGAAAGATGGATAGTTGGTCGTATGGCTGGTAATGCCTCGCCACCAGACCACCATAATGTAGCCACTTTTGTAGTTTTCATAATGATAAAACGCCGAAGGCTGGAATAGGGACGTCAAGCAACTCCTACATCCTCTACAACAGCTACCTGTTTCCCCAGTCCGCTCCACATAAGCGAGAACACACAGAAATGTGAGATGGAAGTTATATTTATCCGTACCTGTATCGGTATACTTAGAAAAGGAAACAATGACATATATATATGACCAGTGACATAGGAATGAGTGAAGATACCTATAAAAGGATGTATAGCCACCATATCATCATAAAAGAATAGTCCGTTGTTTACGTGTCTATATATCACAAACACGACATGAATGCCCCTGAAACTCATCCTCTCAGAGCGCAAAAACCTAAAAAGTGAAGTACTTCTGGTATCGCAGTAGACCAATCAATTTCATGCTGATGTTTTAAGTGATAACCGTTTGTCTGGAGTCTCAAGGAGAATAACATCAGCCACTGGGATCCATTTATGGGCAGCTGACAAGTCTCAAGTATAGTGAAAATGTATATTCTAGCCCCCACTAACTGTCGAATAACAAAGTGACCAGCTTCGCTGACTTGATTTCCTTTAAATTAGCGGTCTCATTTCTCATAATTTTATGCTAGATTGATAGATATATTACACAGCAGGAGAAAGCAGCGTTAGGTGTTTCACAGCTTCCAAAAAATTTATTTCTACAGCCTCACTTAAACCAATTCATTGTAGTGAAATTACATTTTCGTGGTTCTAATCATTTTCCTCGTTTAATGAATCAGACATTTAAATTTGGAGTAATGATGATTTACTTTTGTTGTATGTCCTCAAAATTGTAGACTGAGTCTTTCCGATCAATACGCTTTTCGTCACAGAATAGAACTTACATGTTTTGTGCTTTTTTATGACAGGGAGTCGTCTAAACAACAACATGTATTCACTAACCTATGTGATGGCGTAAGCACCTTGGAGAGTTACATTTATTATTTTTATTAATTTATTTTGATTGCAGCTTGATTCCACACCGTATTTTCCGTACAAGTATGGTTTTCTCACGACACTTAGTGAGATTATACACGAAGATTTATATTACATGTTCTGATATTTTAAGTAAAATAAACATTCTGTTTTTCACTACATGTAGTGATTTCACATATACTATTTCGAATTGGTGTAGTGTATTACACCTATTTTCCATTGGCTTTATTTGTGTGAATGTGTTGCAATGATGCACCACGAGTAAAAGCACTTTCACTCGGCATACAAACCCTTCGAAACAATATGACTTTGTGTTAACTTGCAAATCTTTTAATCCTACGTCTGAATTGAAATTTCGCTACGAACTACGAGTAAGGTGAATTATACAGAATCATAAATTTCCTTTGAAATCCAACTGTGTCACATTTAAGCCATGCTTTATCCAGTTATATAATCCATTTGAAGACGGTATATTTTATTTAGCCAATCATAAGACGCAGCTGGTGCAATTTTCACTGCAGTTAAGATTGACCCCTCTATTTATTAGGTGTAGGCAAACTAAACAAGATAAATGAACTGAATAAGGTTTAACCAGCACTTATCAGATTTTCAAACCTTCGATCAGTACACATTCAAGGATTCACAGAGTGCAGAAATCAAAACTTATCGAGTGGGTTGTAATCCGGTGGCTCATGTCCATAAAAATGAATATGTTCTTGTTGTCCTAGAAAGAAAGTTTAGTTTAACTTAGGTTCATTTCGCTGGCGAAGTCAGTGAATAATATATGTATATGGATAATTTTTCGAACCATTAAATATCACCATAACAATCCCTATATATGGTTCATAATTTTTTCTCGTTTTTCCCTTACAGTTCTGTCTTACAAAGTTCCTCCTCAGTGACCAAAAGATTCTAGAAATGCTTTCAACCAAGGTAAGCAAACTAATGAAATATCTGTTTGTGTGTACATAGTGGTCATGAAAATGGTGCTATAGAGTTTGAATGCGATAAGTTTCAGCTGCATTGAGGAAAGCTACTATTGGCAGTATATCATTTAAATACTCTGAAAATAAAAACAAGCAGGCGGAAAATGTCAATGCGTGGCATAAATTGTCAGCTTTTATTTATTTTGAATAAAAACACAGGCACTGTTATCGCCACTATCATCATCATCATTGAATTCCTCACACAACGCGTCTAACTGAGTTTCTCAGTTAAACAAAATGAAGTATTGCTTCTAGTTGCAATGAACAAATTATACAACACATGCGCTATCGAATTCTATTTTGGTTGAATTCACGTATGTTAAAGTATTTATAAATCAAGAAAGTCAGTTGTTAAAGTAGTTACTCAACAATGTATTGGAGTGAGAGGACACGAAATTCATTCGTTAAGTTTGGAAGTTGACAGTGTCTAATTTTGGATACGGTTAATACGATATAAAGCAGAATGCGACTTTAAGAAATTCAGAAAAATTCTTTCGCATAAAGGCGTCCCACATTTTGTCTTCAGCCAAACTGTTGAAAAATGTTTTCTACTGGCTTGTGACGACTGGAAACTGGAAATTCAGGAACAACTGTCTTATGCTAGTTTTGAATTCCTTAATTGTACGCACGTGATTCCATAAAAGGCGGAAACAGATACCATTGGAATATCAATTTATCACTCAGTCAGTAGGTTGGAAACTAATTTATTCTAACTTATGAAACGTCCATCCAGTGTATCTGTCTACAAAGATGATAAAGTAAGCCCCACTATTAGCTACTTCATATACATTCCATCTTAAACCTAGTGAATAAATAAAACCAGATTGAAATTCAGAGATTAGAGTTGTGGGGACGTGAGTGATATCATGCTGTATCTAGTTAACAACACACATCACCTAAAGAACCACAGAAAATCAAACAGAACAGCTGTCACAGATGAAAGTCTAATGAATTCTAATCCACTTATTGAAAAATTATGTTCTACAGGTTATCCTAGAGGTAAACGCTTTTGTTGAACTCCGCTAGTATATATGGGTACATAGTCACAAAGTGGAAAAAAACATCCCTTCAGTGCTCTACAGCTTCCATTAGTTTTCTACCTGTTACCAGTCAGTGATGGGTTTTTTTGAACCGATAGACACCACAAAACTGCACCATCTAATCTGTTGTTCAAAGATGCGGAACATTGAGTGTCTAACAATTCACTCACTCACCCTCCTCAACTCAACGTATTATTATTATTGTTTCCTTTACTTCTTAGAGAAACATAGGACTTCAGCCGCACGTCTCCATTGCGTTCGGTCCTCTACCAACGTTTTCACATAGCTCCACGTCTGCTCACATGGTTTCATCTCCTCTCCACACGAACTCCTCCATATCACCCTCGGACGACCAACTCGCCACTTCCCATTCGGGTTCCACTCGAGCAATGGCCTGGCGTGTGATGTCACTTGATGGTTTCCTAAGAGTATGACCAATCTACCTCAACTTCGGCCTGCATATTTGTTGTACAATTGGTTCCTGCTGGGTTGGTTCGCTCCCAGAGATCCTTGTTGCTGATCTTTTCTGACCGGCCATCTGATCTTGAGTATTGAGCGAAGACAGCTGTTGATGAAAGCCTGTAGTTTGTTCGAAGTGCCCTTTGTGACGCGCCAAGTCTCTGATCCGTATAGTAGCACTGACTTCACATTGGAGTTGAAAATCCGGATCTTATTTTTCATGCTGAGTGCTGTTGATCTCCACACAGATTTGAGAGTAATGAAAGCTTGTCTTGTTTTCCCGATCCTCGCTTTGATACTGCTATCAGTTCCGTCTGTAATTGAAACGATGCTTCCAAGGTAGGCAAAAGAGGTTGCTTCTTTCAGATTTATCCCATTTATGCTGATTGCTGTTGGCCAAGAATCTTCATCACCTCTGTTTTCTCTATGTTCACCTGAAGCCCTTGCCACCCTTGATGCTTCTTCTGCCAAATTGTTGCTTTTCACTTGCACATCTTCCAGTTTGTGGGAAGTCAGACATATATCATCGGTGAAGTCCAGATCCTCCAAGCTTTTGTGTGGGTCCATTTTATGCCTGTCTCCTCGTCGCCCGCTGTCTGTCCCATTATCCAATCTACCGCAATCAGAAAATTAATCATTGGCGATAGTAAGCAGCCTTGTCTTACTCCTGTCCCCACTTCGAAGGATTCCGTAAGTTTCCCATTGTGGATTACTTGGCATGCAGCATTGTCGTATAGCTGTTGGATGAGATGCATAATTGTTGGCGGCACCCCGTAGTAGCGAAGTAGTTTCCAAATCACCTCTAGATCGACGCTATCGAAGGCCTTTGCAAAGCCGATGAAGTTGAAGTAGAGAGCTGACTGTCATTCCAAGCTCTGTTCAATGATGATACATAATGTTGCCATTTGATTGATGCATGATTTGTTCCTCCTGAATCCATCCTGTTCCGGTCGAAGTTTATCATCCAGGGCTTGTTTGATTCTCTCCAGGATGATGTGGCTTAGGCTGCGCCAGTTCTTGCATTGACTTAAGTCTCCTTTCTTTGACAGTTTGAATAAGTAGCCTTTCCTCCAATCCTCAGGTACCTTGCCCTCTCTCTACAGTTGTGATGTCACCAAGTCCGCTGATGTCCCGGGGTCTATTTTCAATGCCTCTGCTGGGATTCCGTCTGGTCCTGCTGTTTTTCTCAGTGTTTAGCATCTTGATCGCCTTCAGGATTTCTGTTGTTGTCGGAGGGTTGATGTCCACTGGTAGTTCTGCTTCTGCTGTTGGTATTATTGGGCGTGTTGTAGGTGGCGGTCAATTTAGAAGTCTTTTGTAGTATCCAGTGCAGTGTTTCCTTTGCTCCACCTCTTTGGTGACTGACTTCCCCTTGTCATCCTTCGCTGGCTTAATTTGTGTTGAACTTTTCCCTGATAGGAACCTAGTTGTTTGGTAGAAATTTGCGAGGTCTTCTTTGCCTGCAGCTTGTTTGTTCTGCTTCACTTGCCATAGCTTCATAATATTGTCTTTTGTCTCCACTAGCACTTTTCTCTACTCTTCTTTTCAGTGCATTTTAGCTTGCATTCAACTTCTGTTTTTTTCGCTTGTCGATGCATTGGATAATCTTTTGTTTCAACATCCTTCTCTCTTCTATTGGTCAACAATGTGTCCGTAGTGAGCCACTGTTTGTCCCATCTCTTCTTTTTGCCTAGAACCTCCATGCAGGTTTGGCTCCACATCGCTTTCAGGCTGTTCCAGTGCTTTTCGATGCTGGTGTCTTCGCTAGTGTTGATTTGTGTCTCAGCCTCTTTCCTTATGATTTCAGTGAAGATATCCTTTGTGTTCTGATCCTTCAGTTTTTGAGTGTTGAACTTGGCTTGTGGTCTATCTGCAGCTCCTGTTTCTTTGAAAGCTTTTAATTTGATTTGGAGTGTTCCTTGTAAGAGATAGTGGTCTGAGCCAACGTCTGCTCCTCTTCTTACTTTTGTGTCCAGTAGGCTGCGTCTCTATCTCCTTGAGCAGTATTGAGATGAAATCAATTTGGTTTCTGGTTCGCCCATCTGGTGACACCCATTTGGACTTGTGGATATCCTTGTGCTTATATACGCTGCCACCAATCACTAGTTCATTGAAGGCGCAGAAGTCAGCGATGAGTTTTCAATTTTCATTCATTTCTCTGAGGGCTTCTCTACCCACGATGAGTTCTCTTCCTGTGTTGTCTGGTACCAGTTTGGCGTTCATATCTCTCATTAGTATTTTAATGTCACCGACTGGAGTATTGTCTATTGTTTCCTGTAGTAGCTTGTAGAACTCTTCTTTCTTTTCGAGGTCTGAGTTGTCTGTGGGTGCATAGCATTGTATAATTGTCACTTTCCTTCCTTTTGAGCTGAATTTGGCGGTCATTATCCCGGGAGAGGTTGCCTCTCATTGTATCAGGGCCTTCGTTGCCGTTGGTGAAATCATGATAGCCACACCCAACGTAAATTACCTGACTAAAGTTAATATCTGGAAACCAAATTCTTGTTAAAATTTAGAAAAAATTCTGTTAATTTTCTATTCAAAGCATTTGTTATACTTTTTCTCTCATCAGCTACAATCACTTTCAGTAGTGACAACAGAAGGAAGCCAAAGCCCAACACAGCCTACTCAAAAATGTCACTCTAGCCCACAATATAGTCCCTCAGCAGAAGTAAGAGGTGAGTATGGAAAATAAAGCAAGAATGAATGCTGGAGAAAGCTGTTTATCTGTCTTCACACTTTTCATTATGATTGTTAGCTGAATCCGTAAAACGTCCATCATGAAAAGGCTTGGAACAGTTATTTATCACTTAACTAGTGTAATTTATTATTATTATTAAGTAAGACAAAATTACATTAAATCTATCGGTTGGCATGTATCAGTGTTCAAAAAATGGACGCTGTCGTTTTAAAAGTATTACTGTGACCTAATTAATCATTCAGTTCATTTAACTGGGAAAGTATTGACAGATACTGGTATTTCTCCTAGGGGTAGTATCTGTTCATTCCTGCAGTGTTTATTTCCTGCTGAAAGATATGAAATTGGACTCTACCGTATTCCAACATTCAGATAACCTCTTTCTGCTTTCGCAGCTTTAGATCTGTAATTCTAAAAGGCAATTAGAATCACCTGTACAATTTAAGCTGTAAACTGTTTCTCGTTCAGAAGCATTGTTAGCTTGTAACAAGTGTCTGGCTTCATTAAAATCGCGATATATTTCATGGTTGACCGCCCTACAGATTTTCCATCTAAATTATTTGTACATAATAATGGGATACCCTCACCATATGCTGGGATGATTTAGTGGATACATGTAGACTAAGTGAGTGGTAAACTTTTTCACTAAGTTAGCATTGGCTGCATTAGTTTAGTTTTGCAGGTTATGCCTTAGATACACTTTGGATCTAGATCGATGTTAGATTTCTTAAAATCATAGATAAGTTTTACTGGCTGATAAGATGATGAATGCAATTAAGTTTGACGTTCTTCTGACAACTCATTCATATTGACTTGTCCTTTGGTTTGTAGTGGTATTTAACGAAGACAAAAAGATAAAGTAACTGTGGTGTATTTAAACGGCTTTTCTTACTTCTTTGAAGCAGCCACCGCATTAAGGTTGAAAACAACCTTGTATTAGTCGAATAAATTCAATGAATTTAAATGTATTCGTTAAGAAGTAGTTAAAACACTCTACTGAAATTGATAAAATAGAAGAGAAAACGAAAGACAAATTTTCTTTTCATGTGAAATATGACAGTTTCAGGTCACTAGAGCCGTAAATGACAAAAGGGTTTAGTAATATTTTGAAATCTGGCATAGGATTAATACTAAATATTTATTTTAAAATAAGACGAAATCGTGATAAAGAAAATTTAGGAAGGCTACTAAGAAAAAACAAGAGTACTCATCTATTGACTTCGTTACCATTTGTAGCGTAAGAAGCCTGTTGTTCTACTTAGAGGTAAACTCATTGAATGAAACATCAGATGAGGAAGAGTTATAAGGATGAGTACACTGTGTCTGGTGTTATCACTACTGTATCTATTTTTCAAATATTTTTTAAATATATCATACTCATTATCTGTGTGGGAAATTGAGGTAAACATTCAGATATATAGCTGCTCTACCACTCTCATATTAAAACGTTCAAGAAACATGTCATCAGTACTGTATAGTAATTTACGGTATGAGCGTCTTAATTCACAAGTTTTGAAAATGAGTTAGAAGGATGACAATATTTACGAAATAAAATGTCGTCTTGTTTTATGGCTATCCATCGGCTACATGTAACCTGACAATCTAACTGTTACTCCAGTGTTTCAGAGGAAATATAAACGCTAACTTAACTAAAAAGGATTATTCAGTTCAGGCAACGTCTGTATAGTTAACCTTTCGAGATCTATCAGGACGTCAAACAGTGATCATGGATTTAAAAGCTATCAGATAGCTTCCTTGTTGAAAAAATATACTTCCTCTAGAAATATTATTATAACTGAGTTCGTGTGTTGTATATTTAAACTCAAAATATATATGTGGTCGTAATCCACTTGACTGATTAGTATGTTTGACGATAAGCATTGTGTAACAGACAATCTAACTAGCGAAAGAAACGTATTCTATCATCAAATGCCACTGAACTATATGAAGAGTATTACTGTAAGTGAGCAAATGCGTACACCATTATTTTGTACAAAACTTTCATGGCATATATACTTTTGGTGTCGTTTGTTAGCACTAAATACTTCATTGCAATAAATCCCTAGTTCATATGGCAACTGTGTTTAACTAGGCCAATATCCATTAGCATTGAAACTTCTGGAATGAATATCAAGTTTGATAGTAAAATACTGAAATAAATCTAATCGGATAAATCATCAACACGTCTCGATACGAATTCTTTTATTTTTACATAAGCCGGTAATTAGGTTATGGTCAACTGGAAAAAGATTCTTAAACATAGTAGGAACAGATTTACAACAAATAAGTAAGCGCGTTATTAAATAATACCAGAGAGGTACACGGTTGTTTATACAAACCATGTAAGAATTTTTTACTCATTATGAACTCAAGTAATCTCCAATGAGACATCAAATCCAATCACTAGACACAGTCAAGACAACATTCAAGCACCTTTAGGATTAAAAAATCGAATAACTGTCATGTTTAGACAAAAAAATATTTTCCATGCCATCAACAACGAAACTAAACGAAACTCTTACTACCCTTAGAACGGAAAGATAGAAATTAAGACTAAATGTCAATGCGAATTCAACAGTAACAGTTACAACAAATCAATGAACCAAGATGAAAAATATTTCAACTTGCTTAATAAAAATGCAGACGCCCGCTTGCGTTCCTTTTACAAGATTAAATTTGAGGTTTATCTTGAAGAAATGAATCTTCAGTACTTTATACTTGGGTGTAAGACTTTACTTCTGAGTCATCCAAGCTCGTGTAACTAAATTCAAATATTCGCCGAAGAGTGCTGACAGAAGATTGATTTCTTATTTTCGTCACACAATATTATGCGAAATAAAGTGAAATATTAGCGAATACAAGAAGTAGTATTAGAAACATTGAAACAAGCTAAAAATCTTCCTTACTGTAGGTTTCTCTAGTCACACCCTTATAAAAATTACAGTAGCAAATAGTTTAAAATACATTAATGTCAGCGTTAAGTTTGTGCACTGTGGAACTGATCAAATTCCTTCACGTTCAAGTGGGACATAGGGCTTCAAGTTAATGGCTTGAAGTTTCTGTAGAAGTGTTTATTTTACAGGATGGGGTTGCTAGCCACATGCCCAACCTTTCCTCTTTACCAGCATTATTTCTGGCTTAGCGAGGTAAAGGAGTGCGTCGGCCGCGGATCAAACCCTGGACCATGTGTATGGTAGGTGAGCGTCCTAATCGCTATGCCACCGACGCACCGCCATCGTGCTCGGAGTATTACCAAACAAAAAACTTATTATTATAAATAATTGAAGCATGATTATAATTAGATGAAGATGGTTTTAGTTTTTTAGAGAAGTTTTATAGTGCAAACGCTTTGATTAGTGAAACTGCAATAGTCACCAAATATTAGGAAAATTCTGTGATGAATAATTATTGGGATTTAGAAATTGCTTATTCTTTTTTATTACATGCTGTAAACAGAAATGTTTTTGCTTACATAACTTTCAATTATCTTTACTTAATAAGGAATTTTGTGAGAAAAAAGCCTACCATAGTAGCAAGCCTGACTTAATAAGGCCATATAATTGAAGTAATTATTGACTCCCTGCATAGACTGTAACGATCAAAACCGATGTGCTGTAGTCTGAACGCAGGAAACCAGTCTCTACGTTCTACTGCACAGTTATCTAGAACTTCCTTGAGTTACGCGCAGTGCAAAAATGTCCCAACGATAGCAAAAAGATAATTATTTCCGATATAATCTGGGGTACTATTTGACAATAACAACATATCAAAAGGCAAAATTACTTCAGCAGTGCCTTTCGGCAGGTATACAGATAAAACTTGTTCTCAACTTTAAAACAAGTACTATGCAAAGAAATTACCTACCAAGAATTAACCATACAAAGTACCTGAGAATCACATCGTAAAACAACACATTATTGATGTACACATAAACAGAAAAAGAAGCATTCAAATCAGAGATTAAACAGAGACAAAGACGAATTATAAGGACCAAGTTAGCATATGATATGTGGATGTCAGAACACTGATATGCAGTCTAAGAGAAAAACGGATAATAATTACTAAGTTGTTTGAGACATTATAATAAACATAAGTGTTGTGATTAGATCGTTCAGGAGGGAATTTTCGAACAGTTCCACGTTTACGCAGCACCTGCACCATTTTTATATCTACCACAATGAAAAACTTTTATTTCTAGGGGAAGAACTTTATGGTTTATGCAGGCAAGTTGGTAGCATTTCTAGTGTGTAATGACATAAGTATATGAAATATGATATTTCAATTCTCATTCATTATGACAAACTTCAGAAGGCCAAATTTTAATTGTTTCATTCAGACGTTAACAAACTGTTGATGATCGGTAGCCGAAAATTCTGAATGACGAGATTCGAAGTCAGTGTCACCATCATATAATCATATAATGTGGCACACTACTCACAATATGCATGTTTATTTATACTTTTATTCAGTAGTTACTCATTCATTAAAACCTAATGGTGAAATTCGAGATGCATATTCCATTCTGTTTACGATTCGTTAGTTGCATGCACCTGTATTCCAGATCTGGTGGTCCATTAGTCTACTAAATAATCCTCTAATCTTTGAAAGTATGTGAGGTTTCTAGTCTCACTGGGTAATAATTACACTGAGAAACAGGTACATTGAACTAAGGAGAACCGGAAAAGAAAACATAAACTTCTTATATTTCATTGATATCCACCAACTGACTGGCGGTATAGCGTGTCTATTCAAGAGACTTATTCGCTGAAGTGAAACCCATCCACTTAGTCCATAAATGTCAAATGAGCCCTATGAATACAAGTGAATAATAAGGGTACGCTTTGTTATCTTTCATGCATTTCATTTTATCTGCTTCCTACATTCTTTTTTAATAAGCTGTTTGAAAATCACATCATCCACCTCACTGCAGTGCTATGCTCTGTTTTTATTTTGTATTAATTAGTGTTCATACACTTCTGTCAAATTTTCATAAATAATTTTTTATACATTAATGTGTTGAATAAGACATTTTAAAACTATATATCTAAACACTATATTACAGTTTCCTTTGTTACTGTTTCTCATAATTTTAGAGTCGACATGTTTCAACTTAGTCAAACTGTCTCACAGTCTACTTCATCAGGTAATTTTTTGTATGAAGCTTAGGGATTTTTACTTCATTCCACTTACTCATCTTATTGATTGTTTTAGTGTTCAAAGTCTGGTGAATCTACAGAACTCAATGGAACGTATTTTAAGTGATTTAATTCCTGATTGGCAAGACAACAGATTTAGTAATTTTATGATCTGCATGTTTATCATTAAAAGTAGTTTCCTCTACACACTTTCAAAGACGTAGGTGATTTAAAACCTCTATGTGAGTATCAATATACTTAGGAGTAAGCTGCAACAATTTTGAAGAGCTGTTTAAATATTTAAAGTAAAGGTAGAGCTTAGAATTGATTCACTAACTGGAAATTTAGCGCCTAAACTAGTGGCGTAAATTTGAATATATATTTCTGTCAACAAACTAGAAGCGCAGCTCAATACGCAACTCACTATCAACATAGGTTTAGATACAATGTCTTCTCCATCCGCATGACTACATACTCGCTGAGTGAAAACTGGATTAATTTGTTTTGCTGTTTAGTTACTTATTGATTAGAACAATCACGTGGAATTCCTGCCATGTGTGTTTAAACTCTTAGTGTTTGAATTTGCTTTCTTTTAGATTCACTCATTGAGTATTGCTAATATTTTTGTTTTCACACTGAACTAAAATACAACTGGATTTCTGCCATTTCAGTAATTATATCCATACACCCCTAATATGCTTGTGTTACCATTAGCTAGATATAGTAATTTTTGGTAAACTTATACTATATATATATATATATATATAATAAAATAGTTTAGGTCCAGTCCGATTCTATTAAAGGTAAACTGCTTTGTAGAGCTGCTCTGAAGATACTGTTCAAATGATAGAGAATATGTGTAGCAATTACCTGAAGTTTCAGGAGTTGAACAGCTACAAACACGTCTTCATTGCTATAATAAAGTAAATTTGACATCTTGAGAAATATAAAAACTAAATTATTTAGAAATTTTACTGCTGGAGGTATTAATTCCGATAGGCTAGTAGTAACGGATAATCATTCACTGTGTGGTGTCTGTTAGAAGTACGATAAGGTTTAAAGCACCCATAACTAGCAGGAAATAACCACATATTCTATACAGTAGTCTAGTGAATAATCAGAATATAACTTCACAGGTCACTTTTAAAAGCCACAATATAATTTCACTAGTCATCCACAAAAGGAAAACCAATTCACCATTCATTTGAATTTTGAACATTGGAAACAGTGGAACTAAATCCAATACAGTAATCAGTTTCTCCTGTATTTTTCTTCAAAAACTTCAGTTTGAAAAAAAAAACATTCAGTAGCACCATGTGATGTATATTAAGGCATGATTTGGATATTTGAAAGTTACTTAAACTGTCTGTTACAGTTCACTATGCTTATTGATGCATTACATTTGAAAATGGGAAGAACTCAAAAGACTAATAAGTGGGGCATTTTGCCAATTAGATATTGTTGAGGCATTTAGTTGTGAAGATAAAATCAGACGATTTCATAATTTAGATAAAGCAATAAGAAGACGTAATTTGTCTGAATCGTGTAATGTATTTGCGCAACACATTTCGAACAATCTGATCACACACAGACTTGTCATAGGAATATATATGAAATTAATAAAGAGGTAAGAGGTGAGAAAATAGACTTAGGTCAAGTTAAGAGGACATATTCAAGGTCAGAATAACAATGAAGACCACTAAACCAAATAGCAGAGGTAATAGTACATCTGCTACGGTATCAGTTTGAATGTACGTATGGGCACACATACATAGGGAGGACTCATCGATCTCTGCAAGTAAGGGCTTCAGAGCATATTTCTAAATGGCTTCAAAAAACAAATGGGATCTTCAGAACCCATTAATGGTGAGAACAGGAGACCTAGCTCTTCTACTGCAAAATATATTATAGAGACAGAACATAAAATTGATGTTAACAGATGTTTTAAACCTATCTATAAAACGTGTTTGGGGCGTATCCTAAAGTTTGTGGAAGCCCTAGCAATTAGAAAGTTTAAACCACCTTTATGCGTTCAAAAACTATTCGTCATCACATTAAACCTTCCTTAGTAAATTTTGTTTTCATACCGTAGCAGATGTACTATTACCTCTGCTATTTGGTTTAGTGGTCTTCATTGTTATTCTGACCTTGAATATGTCCTCTTAACTTGACCTAAGTCTATTTTCTCACCTCTTACCTCTTTATTAATTTCATATATATTCCTATGACAAGTCTGTGTGTGATCAGATTGTTCGAAATGTGTTGCGCAAATACATTACACGATTCAGACAAATTACGTCTTCTTATTGCTTCATGTAAATTCATAAAGGGAACTAATTGTTTTAGATTTCATAATTATTATAATTTTATACGCCTTCACATCTCGCTGCATATACAAATAATGCAACAACAGTAATTTCGATAACCTTGTTTAAAGAAACGCACTTCACTTTTGTAAGACCAGATTTATTATTCACGAATGTATTTTTTTAACAAGCAGTTAACACCACTACAATTATGACATTTTTCATGATGTATGTTTTCGATGCCAATTCAAAGAACCAAGATACAGTTACCTGTCTATCTGTTTACCTTATAAAACTGCATTTTCCTACTGCATCTCTTGAACTTATTTTGTGATTGAAGTTATTTTGACCAAACCTCTTTTTACATGTCATGCGGGTTAATCATTATAGGAAACACTCTTAAATATTCCTACCCATAAGTTGCATCCTCTGAATTTTGTTATATCAAAATAATCCTTAAAACCACTATTCCCAGGATATTGTCATATATTCAAAAGGCGTAATACAAAAGTGTATCCGAACACTCCTGCCGATATACCAAGGATACATCAAATATGATGTAGGCAAATTTATTTATGTATGCAAAGAAAGGTATTTCCATCTTAGTTTATATCATCAAATTATATTCATTTAAACTGAAAATTTTTAATAAAATCCCTATCATTTTATGAATGAAATCAAAAGACAGTCACTCAAAATCTCAAGGTCTAAAAGAGGAGAAACTAAGTTGTGTTTTGTTCAACCCCGTTTTGTCTGCTTTTATATTTCATTACCTTATACTCAAATGATCAAATAATGCTGTACTTTTGGTAGTGTGCATATGAAAATGGATGGCATGCCTGCTATCGCCTTATATATATATACATATATATATATATACTAATAGTTTAATTGCTCTACGTTTTATGAAGAAAGTTTAATTAGCATGTATGGTTGCTAGCTAATGAAGATTTTTATGGGAATTACCTGCCTTTCTTAGACATGCGTCAAGTGAACATAAGATGAAAGATTAAGCAATAATCCACGTAAATGAGGTCAAATTATTGTTAATCTGGTAAATTTTAATTCTTAAAAGACTAAAAATAGAAACAAAATTACTTTTCTCTGCTATTCATTTTATTTTTCAAATAATTTACAAGTCAGACCATTTCTCTTAAAAGAGCTGAAGCTGGGAACCAAAAAGATGTAACTCATATTATGTATATTAAGAAATGAAAAAGCAGAAATATCCCAAAAATTTAGTTAACTACTGTATCCTTCCAAATAGGCACCCTTGAATCTGTTATGCATTTTAAAATCAGTGACGATTTGTGGTTTTTCACTTTTTGGTATATTATTTTTGACTAGTTATGCAGTACTTGGATGTAATATGCATCTACTTCATTTAAGTCTTGACAGGTAGATCTACACTTTCTTTATAACATTTTCTTCAGTGAAACAGTCTGCTGATGTAGTGCTTGTAAATCTGTTAGTAGCAGCTTCTCAGTGTCAAAGGAAAAAAGTAGCTTTAAAATATCACAACATTTTTAAATCAGTAGTTTCGTAATGATACTGATAGTGAGAAACTAACATAACGCTTAAACAATGATTCAGAAATTTTATACAGTCCCGCAGAGTTATGCTACTCAGTCTTCGCTCGACTTATACTGATATAGGTTGGAGGATTCCACCATGAGTTGACATCAGTTAGAGAACCATTGGAAAACCTGGGAGTACTGGGCAGCTGTTCCATCAGCCTAGTATGGGACTCTTCAGCAGTACGCACTCACCAGGGTTCGACCCACGACCTCCTGGTTACAAGGCTAGCGAACTCGTAGACCAATAAGCCATTGGCACCTGATCCAATGGCCAGCCCATGAATTCCAACTTCTACCAATTCATGACATAGCGCGAACACTTCGTAACGTCTTCTCCAATGAGTTACTGCCTCACCTTCAACCTGCTGCACTCTACTGGTCACAGCTTCCCACTAGAACCTCAGGTCACAGCCTGAATAGGGCCAGTTGCTAGTGAGCATCAGATATGATACCGATCTTATACTGATGTCTTGCAATTAAAACTATTACCTGGTTAGTTTGGATGTACACCTATGCATATTCATTACAGAATTTTCGGACATTATTCTACATAGCTGAACATGGTTCATAGTCCTCATGCGACACCTCTCGTCATTAGTGAATATATAATTAATGCCTAAAAGGTCTGTGAAAATAAGATCTTTAAAAATTAATAAGATATGAAATAATCAGACAAAACGATCTCCACTGAAGTATATTTCCTATTTGTATCCAATAATTTTTGTCGTTTACATATCACTTTGCATATCATTTAATAAAACTTAGCTCATAGAGCAAGGTCACATAAAAGAAGTTTACATTCACCTTTCACTATTTTGTCTTCCTAACTATTATTTATTTAGAGAAATTGTTATGACTTTATGGTTTGCCCACTAGACATTAACCACAATGCTATTAAAATTTCTCAAAGGTAGCTGAATGCATTTTATTATATTTATTCTACCTCGAGATAAATTTATTTCCCATCATTTCCAAACTACTTTAGTTACCATTTCGTAGCAAATCCGATAATGAAGATATTCAATCATATTTATCCTTCCACTATAGTTGGCCAGCCTTAGAAGCTTAGCGGCAATTCCTCTAACTGCAGCAATATAAAGTCTGTTTCTAGTCGCTAAGGTGACATCACTTCCGTAGAGGTTGCTGATACGCCTTGTCGAAGAGTGGCATAAGAAACACAAAACCACGTTCCAAGGTTTCTTCTTGATTACGTCAAACCACCTAACAATCTTTACTGTCATCATTTTTCAGTTTTCATTCCGAACACTTATTTACAGCATGTGAGTTAATATAGCCATCGATGACACTAGCTGGTTTTGGTGCTGTTTACGGCTAGTTAGTAGGAGTTGGATTCGTTGAAAATTAAATTTTGTTCCAGTAGATAAAGTGTAATGTGTTCATCTCGTGATCTGAAGTCCCTGGATTAGATCTCTATAAGGTATGTACGAATGAAACGACTATTCAGTACTTGCAGATTTCAAGTGGTCGTCTAACTGTTTTTAGTTTGTGGTGAAATCTACCTTGACATCAACCAGATCTCTGCAAATCGACACCTGAATTTATCAATATTTTTTTTGATGTATTTCATAAATTTATACTTAATTAGCTGAGAAATATGCTTCATTTTTCATGAATGATGATGGCTGAGACGTGACAAGTACGAGAAATTATTTAGAAAAAAGTAATTAAAAAGTAGAACTGGAAGAAAAATACTACCAAATAAGATTGTTGTTTAGATACCTCTTTTGTTTTAATTTAAAAGCCTATTTTTCATCTGAAGATAAAACATCGGTGTTAACCAGATGGTTGTTATTCTTTTCTTTATTATACCAGATGACTGAAAAAGCAAATTACTCATTTGGTATTCTAATGTTCAACATAGATGATTCAGATAGATTACTGTGCATAGTAAGTTTAGAATACAACTGATGCTTACTCTTTTTAGTTTGATATTTTAAAAGTGTTGATTTATTTCAAAGTTCGTTAATTTTTTTTAACTACTAGTAGTATAAATTGTACACATCTTGAAGTAATAAATTTAGAGAGATAATGTTATTAGCTTTCAGTGTGTGTTTAAGAATTTTCTCAGTTAAAATGATGATGACAACCATTAATGACGATTGGAACACAATAAGATTTTCAAACCTTTTTAAAAAATCATGATTACATAACATTGTGCGTCGGTGGCACAGTGGTTAGGACTCTCGCCGACCATGCACATGGTCCTGGGTTCGATCCCCTGCCGGCGCACACCCGATATCTATGGTATGCCTGAATTTGGGCAACCGATATCCATGCTGAAAATGCCATACTTGTACTGAAAATACTGTGTGGCATCAAGCTGTAATCAAAATAAAAAATAAAAATAAAAACATTATCTGTCTCACGATGGAATAAATTTCGATGTAAAGTAATACTTAAGCTTAAGATTCATATATAATTTTTAGCTTTGTCTCGTATTTATCATTGTAGTAAAATCAAAAAGCGATATAGACTATCTTTGTCTCTTGAAAAGCCGCTTAGGAAAATATTTAGTTAAATGACTGCAGCTGACATATCAAGTTCTATGGAAGCACAAGGATAAATATATCTATTTTAAGGAGGCTAGCAGCGGTAACGCATCCTTTACGCATAATCGAAACATAGGTGATGTGCAGGCACTAAGTCTTGCAGCTCAATCTTTCAGCATTTTATTGGTTTTCGGCTCCAGGTTGACTCACAAAACAGTTTTAGTGTCAATTACAGGATACGTGAAAAGATGTGGATAAAAGTTTTTTGAAATGTAGACACCATGGTAATTTATATTTTTAACCTCTCAGTCGGAATGCAGAAGAGATATACCTAAAGAGAAATTCGTAACAGAAACAGCCATTAAAGCATTCCGTGTTTCATCTTTGGAAAGTATTTCTTCAACTGAACAGTCATTATGCTACATCTTTCTAACATTTTCATTGCTGCATTACACCCGACTCTTTCAACTATATTACCCCATTCAGCCTAATCACTTTATCTTACCTTAATCTTGATAGATTTCTGTATGATTATTACCCTTTCAATGCTCAGTTAGTTTTGAATCCTCTGAACATTCACCACAACTGTAGTCTGTTCTTATTTTTACCAAGTCAATATGACATTTACTTTTGTAGTTATGCACCTTTAGAATTAATTCCAGTAAAGAGCTAGTGTTCTCTGAATATCTTTAGTTTTGTTAAATTGGTAATAGTTTCAAACAGATATACTTTGAATGAAGCATTCAGGAGATTCAACATTCTTTGATCAGCAATTTCTAGCCCCCAATTTTTAATTTGGGTCCAAAGTCAATAATTTCTACTGGTAATGCAAATCTATTATTCCAATTAAAATCTACATTGAAAGTTAACGTTCCAGTAATGCATAGGCTAATTCTTACTAAAAGTTTGATGTTTTTATCGTATTTGGAGCATTAAAATAGTCGACTGATTACGAAATACCAACAGGAGTTTCACATATGAAAGCCATTCAATCTCTTTAAATTAACATGCAATCTGAATTGGTTAATAAATATTGCTGTGAATGTAATGTTTGTGAAGGTAGTATGAAAGCGAATTATTTCACTCCTTCATTGATGCGTTAATCAAGAATGAAAGTGCCCGGCGAATGTTTTTAGTCAATAAGTGACAATAAACGTTAACACTGTCATATCATTTTTATACCTAACACATTTTAAAAGTTATTGTTATGACTTTTTGACGGTTTTTATCATACTTAAATTTATTGAAAAATTATCTGAAGTGGGATTTCGCATAACATTGGAACAGAGAAACTGTATGGTTGCTTTTAGAAACAACTGGTATGAAAGCACCTAATTGTTAAGAGACGATTAATTAAGCAAAAATGCAAAGAAATGGTTAGAAAAATTTAAACTACTAGGAAGGTGCCTTAGAAATGTAGTATCTAGCTAGGTGGACACTGTTTTAAAGCAGCATGTAGACGTTAAAGCTTTCTTTAAAATTAGTTAATACTACTGTAGATGCGATGGTCAAGTTCTAGTTGTTCATTCTTGTAGCATCTATAAAGAACAGTAAAGTAACCTAGTACCTCGCAGTAAGCCTCTGCAATACATCATGGATTTCGATACTGGATTTTACGAGCAAACTATTTGCAACTGCGTGTTTAACTGAGACTCATGGGAATATTTTCAGTGTATAATGTACACAATTATCGATTTTTCTTCACGAAAAACGCACGTTTGTATTTATACTTTAGATGATAAGTGGGACCGAAATTTTGGTTCTTATCTATCCCAACTGGTCTGGAGCGATAAGCAGTTTGGCTGACCAGTTTTTAAATATAGTTTTCAGATTTTGACCTTTTACTAAATCTGTGTAATGCAGAAGCACCATAAAGCGTACTATATTTGTATGCAATATCTCAGATATATTTTCACTATCCCAAAGACACAATTTCACAATTCAATGTCTATGTAAATGTGTTGAAAAATCACTCCTCCTCAAATACTTATCGAATTTTGAGTACTCTTACTTTGATTAACCTGTCAAATAAAACTTCCGAAATCCTTAGAACTATAAACCAACAAAAATATCATTTGAAAGAAAAGGCTTTCAGGGAGCAGCTACTCCGTTTAGCTGTATTATTCTCATGCTGTACACTCACATATATATACATATATGTACAGCAAATTTTCCTAGCAGAAAAAGGAGTGTTTTCAAAGATATTCACTTCAAATTGTAAATTTTAGATAACAACTATGTAATACAGAAAGAGCGTTATTTAGATAGAAGCTAAAATAGCATTAAATAAATAGACTGACCGACGTAATATAATTGATGGGAATGATTAGAAACCAACTAAAATTGAATGAGGATCAAGTAAAGAACAGTGATTATTAGGAGTAGAAACAGAAGAGCAGAACACTCTAGAAAGGATTCTCATTCTTCCCAAAACCCCAGAAGCGATGACAGTACACATGATAAATCCTGAATTCTGCATACAAAAATTGTTTTAATCACTAGGCTTACAAAAGACCTACTCTGTCTTAACACCAGATACGTACTGTTTTCGTTTCTTAATTGATATTTTTCTCCCCTCCTAACACTATTAAATTTCTATTCCTTATAAGTAGAGTTCAGTACCTCAACTTCTACTCCTAATAATCACTGTTCTTTACTTGATCCTCATTCAATTTTAGTTGGTTTCTAATCATTCCCATCAATTATATTACGTCGGTCAGTCTATTTATTTAATGCTATTTTAGCTTCTATCTAAATAACGCTCTTTCTGTATTACATAGTTGTTATCTAAAATTTACAATTTGAAGTGAATATCTTTGAAAACACTCCTTTTTCTGCTAGGAAAATTTGCTGTACATATATGTATATATATGTGACTGTACAGCATGAGAATGGTATAGTTGAAAAGAATAGCTTATTCCTGCACTTATTGGGGATAATTAAGTTGCTTAAACGTTGGAGAAACACCACTGCATACCCACTGAAAAGAAACACTTCTGAAATCCAGATGTTATATTCTTCAATATTCCTCTGATGAGAGGCTGTTCATTTGATTTTATTATGACGTCTGAGGGACATCAATTCGCAATACGGAATTAATTTTCCTATTATTATTATTATTCTTTTCTGTCCGCAGATATCTTTTCGAGACATTTGAAAAGCACAAATAATTTCAGTTTATTTAATGTGTGATTCCTTTTTTCTGATTTAAAATAGGCTTCTTCTGATGACCTATTTGTCGGTGAACAAAAAGTAGAGGTGAGTCATCATTAATGTAAGTAAATAATGATCTTGTATTGATTACATTTTCACAGAACACTGAATAACAAAGAACAGCAGATTATTACTACCTGACTGGTTTATGCCTTGCGTTTCCGTGTTTTAAGTCAATATTCCTATGCCACTAGCTGAAGTTTATCTACTGATGTAAGTGTAGAACTTGGGCACTGTGGCAGAATGTAATTCCATATTAGATAAGTTTATTTTAATAATCACGCAGTGATGCAGCATTAATAACTGGATGACGTTTCGAGCATAAATTATTGCTAATAATCGTACCATTTTGGTCACACATTTTCATAATATTTTCTCTCTTTCTGTCTCTCCAACTTATTTTTGTTGTTTGTTGCCACTTTCCATGTCTCCAGTATAGGCGTAGAGTCATTCTGATTGCACGCCTGGGGTGTTGAATCGATAAACAAGGCTTCATTGTGTCAGTGACTTGATATGATTATGTGCAATAATTTGTGCTTGACACGTCAACAGTTAATATTACTGTACAACACTGTGTCATTTATCAAGATAAAATTTTTACCCATAATGGAGTTATACTTTACCACAGTGCCCAAGTTTTATACTTATACCAATTGTACTTAATGTAAGTAGGAATTCAACACCAAACATTTCAAAGTATTAATTAATGTTAGGTCACAAAGTCGATTTTAATAACTTCTCAGTTGTTTCACATAACTCTCATTAAAGGTTATTACAGATGATGAAAGCACTAAGATTATTCATATGCACCCCAAACCACGTGTACTGAAAATTTTATACTTCAACCTTTGCTTACCATGGTCTACTTCACCTACTAAAATATGATTACTTATTAGTATATGACAGTTAGTACATTTTATTTTATTAACGTTAGCCATTGTACGTTGTGCATAACGGTCAGGACGCTCGCCGACCATGCACATGGTCCGGAGTTCGATTCCCGGCCGACGCACTCCTTTACCTCGCTAAGCCAGATATAAAAGCTGGTAAAGAGGAAAGGTTGGGCATGTGGCTAGCAACCCCATCCTGTAAAAATAAACACTTCTACAAAAACTTCAAGCTTCTAGCTTGAAGCCCTATGTTCCACTGGGAACGTGAAAGAATAAAAAAAGCGTTAGTCATACTGTGATGGTGTGATACAGACAATGTGTTTCAACGAAATATTATTCTCACATATTCCCACAGTTCAATACTGCATTAACAACAGAATACTATATATGTGTTTGAACATTCTATTTCATGTCATTTAATGTGTATGCCAAAATCATACACTCAATGATTGGTTAAAGAATATAAACAATATTGGTATAAATCCCGAATTCGTCACTTGAAAATATACCTTGGCTTCTGTGACTTGTATTCTGTTGTTACAATGCTAGTTATAAAGCGATTGTAGAGAAAATGATGTTTTTATTCTTAATTCTTCATTTAAACGAATTGCATGAAAATACTCAGCATACCTATGGGTAAACACATTTGTTTATTAAAGTACTATTCTTTTCACTAGATTCATAAGGATGATTTTGAAAAGCATTTGAATTTCTTCGAAAATTCAACGACACAAGAATTCGAAGAGGTTAGTACTTTTATTAAAAAAATGCTACAGCAGTTACAGCAATGTGATCCAGTCAGTAGTAAAAGTTCACAACACTTGCATAAAGTTTTATTTTAAAATTTTGGTTTCTATTTAGCCGATTATTTGTTGTGATTGCGCTTCATTGATATTAACCTGTTAGCATCACAGTACAAATGTTGTACTGTAGAATATACATTAAGCGCATGCCTGAGTTGCTATGGTGCTGCTTTTTTATTATGTAGCAAACACCTAACTAAGTTTTCAGATTCATACACTAAAGTACTGTTCGTAAACATCTCGGCGAAATTCAAACAAATAATTCAGATGTTTCGTTCGGTCAACTGGTGCAAGCTTCTTTCCTTGATAAAGAAAACACAATTATTCAATGGTCTTTGTTTTTACAGAATTTACTGTAAGATGGTGATTCGTGGAGAAATATACTAAAATACCTCAATTAATTAGAGTTTCACTGGAATTAATATTGGATAACAACATTTATTTTCAAACCTAGCGAGTTTCTGTCTACATATTACTTGATGGACAAGCTTTCAGCAAACCTTCTCAACTCATCTTGTCACCAAGGTTTCAAGTAAAAAATACACTGAAGTCTTAAAATTATTCAGGAAACTGATAATTTTGATGAGTTCATATTCAGTCTATGGGTTTCAGGAGATTCAGTGCTCAATGATTTATTAAGTTTTGTTAATGCAAACGTCGCCAGAAATAAACTGTTTCGTCTGGAAAGGTCTATTGTTCATGGCTTTTCACAGGAGAATTTCTATCAAAACCTGATGTAGTGAGTGCTATATCAGCTGCCTCTGTCCAAAAAAATATTTTGGTAAATATTAATTCAAACAAGTCAAGTGTTTGGTCTGAAAATATGGTTCCCAGTGACTGCTGAATTATCTACAACCTGCTAATCAGCCATATAATCTGTGGTGTGTTGAGTATTTACAACTCTTTATTGACGAAATATTTATTATTTCCTGGTAAGTTATCCCAGTCGAATAGAACGGACGTGTCTGCAACTACCAGTTAAGGCGGTAATCCTCCTGTTCGTGATAATTTTTACGCTGTTTCATTAAAATGTATTGTTTGGCACATCAGCTGTTAGAGGGAAAGAATACAATATAATGAGTTACTGTGGCATCTGATAAGCTTCTGATTTCTCTAGTTTTCAATATGTGATTAGTCCTTTACATAAAACTACGCAGGAAAAACAAAAATAAGATATGAATAATTTAGTTTTCAGACATTTCTAAAGTGGTAATTGTTGATTACCTGAAAAGTGCATCAACTTGCTGCTTCCCATTCAATGATCAACAATATTAAAGGAAACTATCATTATTGTTCACTCACTAAAGAGGTTTAATAACATGACTTGAAAGAGAAATTAACCATAATTGTGTTTCTTTAGAAAACAATGTCTCATTATAATAGTTTCAACCTGTCAGTCTAAGATTACCTTAAAACCATAACTTAGATTAAGTGGAGTAGTAGTTCGGGTTCCACACGTTTTCATATTGCATAGGTGCCTTCATTGTTCAAATTCCACTCACTGGTTTTATTAAAATATATTACAGCAAGGAATTAGCGGTTTGAGAATAATATGAAATGCGTGTTAAAAACCATTATCCCTGTTGTGACTAAGATGATTTATTTTTCAGCTTGTGTTGAAATTAGCCGGTGACTTAAAGACGTCCTAGCAGGGTGATACTGTAACCCGTATCCTTGACATTCAAGTACTCTTTTGCCCAAGTGTTTTGGAATACAATATGTTTTTTCAAGGTGATAACCGGTTACATAATGCGAAAGTTGTCTGATAAACATATATGGTGACGGAATGTTATTTCACTCCTACAGTTTAGTTTATGAATATCAAACTAAGTCAACAAAGCACCTCACTACACAGCAAGTCGGTACAAGCTGACCTAACAGAAATGAATAAAATGTAACCCTAAGTATAGATATATGGAATTTTTTGTTATTTGTTACCCACATAGGTGAGTAAATTGATATATATGCCTTTGTGTAGTATAAATGATACCTTTTACAATACAACTGGGATTTGAAAATATCACAGGTGAAATAGTCATAATTTATTTATTTTATCTCGATAACGAGATGCTTCCTTTGGCTACCTAGTAAAAAAGGCTTCCCCCAAAGTCATGAAATATAGCATTAAACCCATAAATTACAGTTCTATAGAACTCAGTCAGCACTTCATCAAGCACATCCTAAATCACTCAGAAATTGAATTTCTTTTGGAATTACATTGTCTAGATGGATAATGAAAGTATCGCCATCTGATCATCCACTTCAGAAAACGTTACTATACCATAAAAGAATGATAATTAAGAAGAAAGATTTACATAACAGTATAGCTTATACCTTCTTTTTCTCTATTGCATTATAGACAGTTTTAACTAAGGTTCTACGAAAAGTACTAGACGAGAAGGCATGGAACTTTTGCAAGTCAAGTCAAAAGAAATTCTTTCGCCTGATTAACCTTGGGTCTTTCTCTTATGATTATCACATACAAGACAATATTACCCAGCGTTTAGCTGATTCGCCCACTGCTTCTATTACCATTTTCTACTTAGTTGTGTATTTATGGTCAGTTCCAACAGGAGAATATTCAGAAAATTTAAATGGTTTCGCAGTCGAGTAAGTATTAAACCTTATTTTGCAAAGCATTTGAGCCTCTGTACGGAATTTTTCTCATTCGACTAATATGACTTCACTACGTTAGAATATTATACAAAAGTGATGTATCTGAAATTGTAAGGAACTAAGTCCTTTCGGTAATTTGCGTCTGAACATAAAGATATACAGTTTCCAAAAAAGTGAATGGAGTTGCATTCTATTTTTCAGGAAATATATGCTAATACAAAATACTTCTCCAATTCTCTTTTCTTTTCATCGTTCCTTCCAACCCATTTTTAATAACAAAATCTAACATCAACACTGTTTTCATCACGAATCAACATTATTTTCATGTACATTATTAAAGATTATTGTTAGCAGAAAAACACAGTCTTCTGATTGGTTGTTTCTCACTGAAAGTTAATCTTTCATCTCTTTGTGGCTGTTTCTTGAATGTCAGATCATCTGCATGCTAACTGTATCCACCTACGCAAAGTCTGTTGTGGTTGGCTGTTGAATCAGTCTTTGTTCATATTTTTCTCACAACCCATATTGAGGACGTAAACATTGACGTAAATTACCATCTACCAATTCGACTAGCAGCCAGCTTTCACCACACTAAGATTTCATATTGTTCTTTTATTGTACACTATATTTTCTCCCAATCGCTTCCTCACTACAATCAATATTCTCACACACAAATAGTAAATGTGAAGATGTTCTCTGACAAAAGACGACTATAACATTTATCATAATTATTACCATAATTAATGGAAATGGATAAACTGTCAAACAAACAGATCTTTCTTTCAATACAGTTCACTTATTTCCTAGTGCTTATTTTTCATTCTTTGTCTAACACTTTAGGTTTGTTTGTTGTTTGAACTGAACAGACTTCTTATCTAACTATATTTCTGTACACTTTGAACACAACAAAAATGCAAAAAACCATGAGAGGTGAAATGTCTCGTAACTTTCTTGTTTTAGGCATAAAAAATGCTTGAAATCTCTTCTTTCTTTTCCTTTGTTCAAATGATTCATTGCACTATCTGCCTCTTCATTTTGCTGGAAAACAAATTTATTTAAATTTATAAATGTATACAAAGTGTCATTATTATGGAATGGCTGAAATAATTAGTCATATCCTTCCCCATGGCTTTAAAGATATTTCCTTACTTGTCCAGGAGTTATTTGGTCTGAATAAGTTGAACATTTTATACTAGATTTGTAATTTGCCACATGTTTAGAAGCCATTTTCAGCGCAACCAGTGAAATCTTTGACTTGCTAGCTACAGCCATTTCTAAGGCCGATTTCGTTTTGTGTGAGCACAGAAGTTACTACGCCAAACTGTTAAAATGCATTTTAGCCATAAATCTGTGGGACGCTGATTTCACTGCTTATTATAATTTTCGGAAATCTGCTTAAGATTGCTGGATTTACAGAGATAAATCTGTGAGCATGCAAATTTAGTTTAACTAATAAGATAAACTGAAATTACAGTGTAGATTTCCTCACAAATTGATATCAATTAGAAAATCACTGAAAACAAAAGGTGACCGGACAGCAGAGCTGGAAGGTCTTTAGGTAGTTCTTTTTTTCAGTGATTTTCTTAATTATATCAGTATCTGAGGAAAACTTCGTTAAATCTAACAGAAGCCTGAAGACTCCACCATTTCAGTGGAGTGAAATTACGTGAAAATCTTACCCTAACTTAGATGATTCAGGTCATATTTAGTATTTTTAAAGAAAATATCTTTTAATATTTCATCCATTTCTTTTCACTTCTTAGTTCAGGTAATGAAAATGTGCAAATCAGTAACCTACTCGATATACACAGAAAAAGACTATACGAAGGGTGTAGATTACAATATTTATCTAACTGTAACAAATTCTATGAAGTGAGTTTCCTATCAGATTGAATATTTTGCAAATAACTGATTAACTTGAAGATTACTTATTGATTTTATCATTTAATTTTATGCCTGTGAGTTGTGTGTGGAACATAGGGATCCGGTTTTGAGGTTTGAAGTTCCACTGGTATGGTTGCTACCCCCAGACTTAACCTTCCTTCTCTGTAGACTAAGAGAGCTTCGGGAGTGTGCTGATCACAGATCTGACCTCAGACCACGTGCATGATTGGCGAGTATTCTACCAGTGAACCAGTGATGCAGTGAAAATTACTCACCTAAAGTGACCATGTTAGTCGAACAGTATAAAATTTCATTTTCATTTTGTTTTGTTATGCTACAACACTCCTTGTGCGTTGGTGGCATAGCGGTTAGGACGCTCACCTACCATGCACATGGTCCAGGGTTTGATCCGCGGCCGACGCACTCCTTTACCTCGCTAAGCCAGATATAAAAGCTGGTAAAGAGGAAAGGTTGGGCATGTGGCTAGCAACCCCATCCTGTAAAAATAAACACTTCTACAGAAACTTCAAGCCACTAGCTTGAAGCCCTATGTTCCACTGGGGAACGTGAAGGAAAAAAAGAAACAGCATTCCTTACTCACAACCCTACGAGCGGTCACTCTTCGTAGAATCGTGTCTTATAATAAGCATGTTAATTCCATTGGTTGATCGTACTACATTTTTGTAATTTCATATCAGAGGTTGTTATGCACCACACTCTTAACCTCATGGATTTCACAGCTTACAGCTTTTCAACCCTGCCTTAAATGTTTGGTCAAAAATAGTGACATAGAACGTGATTTTACTCACATATCAACAGCAGCCGCAAATTTAATCTCTTGAATGCTAGCTTCTATTTTTTAATTATTTATAAAGTGATTTTTCTAAGTGCCCACTAAGAGGCATATATTGTTGTACTAAGCTGTATGATTAATGAGCAGTCCAATTGATTATTACTGATAGCCAAATAGATAGTGATTTCCTTAGAATATTTAAACCGTCTTTAGTTATAAACATTTAGGTCTACAATGAAGCTCAAAATGTTTTGCTATCACAGTAACCCAAGAAATCTACTAACATACATAGATATAACAAGGAAAACCGTATTAGTTATGAATTTCATGTTAACAGACATTCCATAACATGAAGTATTTGGCTTAAATAATACGTCGAATTTCCATTAGAACTAATATCAAACAGAGAACTAATGAAAAGTAGAGAAAATGGAACGTCTGCTTCACTCACCGACATGTTTTATTCACCTGAAAGGAAAAGTTCAGTGTTTATAAATAACACTGTTCACTGCATGCAATAATCTTGGTGTTAGTATGACCTTGTAATGGTTTGTAGTTGCTTAACAAGTGAAGGACAAATATTCAAAATGAAGCAGAGAAATATATCACATCAGGGATGGTGTCCAATAATAAATATACTGACAATGAACTTCTAGGCCCTTGTCTAAATTCTGTGATAGGTATGATCCCTTAAGTTGACTATGGATGAGATTACTAATGTACGACGTTTTTGGTTGATCATTGTCCATAATAAATTCGTAGAATTGGCCGCCTTCCAACATACTGGTACTTTCCTTAAAACAAGGAGGTTTCGAAACCACTACATATGGAATAGTGAAAAGAGACTGTTGAATAAAATCATACCTAAAGGAAAGAAGTATATAGTTCTGGTTAGTTTTCATCATCAGTTGGTGTCACAAATCTACTTTCAAACCAGTCAAACAGAAAAGCTAATGCCGTATTTTATTGTTTCTTATTTTGATTTATAGCTATTATGTAATGAATCTTTCTAAATTTGTTTATCTTAAATGTACAATTTCTAATAATTATTTCTAGGTTTTTCATAAGGTACTTGCAAATTTCAGTCGTATTGAGAGTGAAACAAATCTATTTGAAAACATTGCAGACAGCCTAAAGAAACTCATCAACTTTGACAGGTAAACAGTATCATTAATTTTGTACAATTATATTTATTAGTAGTTACTTGGAAATGAGGTTTTTCGAAATAATCACCAAAAATAAATTCAAAAAAATACTACAACAGACAACTAGTTTCATGAATAAAATCGCCTGATTTCTTGAAGATTTTTTGGTGTGAAGAATTTTTAACGGTAAACCATATGATGTCTTTGAAAAGTAATGATTGTGAATTTATTCTCATTGAAATTTCCGCCCACCAACTCTACTTTTGAATGTAAGAGAACTATTTACTAAGCTTCTATATGGAGAGAATCGCAGTTTCTGTTTCTGCCTTGCATTTATTTTTTTAAACATTCATTAGCGAGTTAAAGCTCTTTCAGCCATATAGTATAAGTTAACGTAATCGCATAACGCCTCTTTGGTCTCTATATATTATTATGTGATCATTACTTTGTCAACTGAGTGGTTAAACTTGAATGTCTTAGACATTTATCAAACCTGCAGTCAATTAAGCTATGTTTGCAGACATATTTTGTTTTCACCAGTGAGACATATATGCGTGACAGTTCGTCTTGAGGATGAGTCACTGGTTGTCTTCCCTACACTGGTTTCAGAGAAATAAATGTCTGCCTCGCCTTCACGATCCTGGCTTCATTCGGCATCCTCATATGTGGTACCTGTAGTTGAAATAATTCCGCCAAGGGGAGTTAAGCAGGTGACTTCCTTTAGATTCATTCCACTGATGGTGACTATGCTATAGATGTTGTCTGTCTTCTCTGTCATCATCTGAAGTCCTTTCCTTTCCTGCCAGCACGTTGGTTTCCAAATGAAAATTTTCGGGTTTGTGTAACGTGGGATATAAATTACCTATGAAATCTAGATTAAAAGATAATGTTCAAGTAATGGTTTTGTAGGGATTTTTGTTTGATTGCATGGAGGATTTCATCATGAGCTGACATCAGTTAGAGAACCACTGGAAAACAGCTGTCCAGTACTCCCAGGTTTTCCAGTGATTCTCTAACTGATGTCAGCTCATGATGAAATCCTCCATACATAAAAGATAATGCTTCAAGAAACATTCATTATTTTTTAAACGCATGTTACTGCAACATTCCAAGACCAGTTTTCATAGACTAAGTCTACTACGATTCATGGCTTTGTAGAAACGAAGTATAAAGGTATAAATTGGCATTTGAATGGTGACTCGTGTTGTGAGCTAATTAAAACGATAATCAAAATGCATCTGAGTAATCTAAACGCACTTACTGCCTGAATGGCTCATTTGTTATGCTTATAACAGCTTTATAGACTGAATCTAGCATGAATTTTGAATTTCTCTAAATTGCTATACTCAGATGCATCAACATCTCTCTTGAATAACTTCAAGCAGGCATTGACAATGGATGCGTTATTGGTGCATAGAAAATATCGTTTTAAAAAAATAAAATTCGTCATATGCTTTTGTTTACGTTTAATAATCTACTTATATAGCTGGCATATTTACAATTTGCTTTTCTCACTCAAATGAATATGAACCATAAAACATGGGAAATATTTTTTAAACATTCTCCAGCATTTCAATTTATCATTTTGATAAAAATGAACAAGAATGGATAGAAGAACTGAACCAATATCCATTAAAAATTCAAGTAAGTATACTAATTGCTGCTTTTCACTTTCCCTCCAATTCGGGTTTATTGTAATCGGAAAGTATTCATTTTGCATGTTGAACATGTATTGCTTTTTGATAACAAGACAGTTCTTCTCTACATATTTTTGAATAGCAGACCCCTGTGTTCCAAGCCACATGGTAGGACTGGTGTATAACTAAAGTCTATGGGTTTGTAATGAAATGAATGTATTTTTAATGCCTTAGTGCTTTTGAGTGAAAGAATGCAGTACTATATTGTCAGCTTGAGAGACTGATGCTATAACCATAACTGAAAGTAGATTAATTTTAACAATTCTTAAAAGATACTGTAATCTCTGTATGTTAAAATGTAACGGAGTGGCAGATTTCATTACTTTTTGTCTGCTTAAAATAATCTACCGAAACTGTCCGCAGAGATTGCCTACAGACAACATTTTCATTCATAAAAAACATGGATTCACTTCATAGACATGTGTGTGGAAACGCATGTTGGATGTTGTTCAGTCACTGAATATTGTAAAACGAATCTGTAGTCTCAGTAGTGAATCATCACAACGTTTTTTCGGAGTATCATTTTTCACCTATATGTGATCAGAATGAAGTAACAGTAATTTCTGTGTGAAAATCTCTGGCAAAAACATACAAATATATTTTAGGCACGCTTTGCTTAATAAATTATTTTAAGGAATAAAAAGACAGTTGCAGCGAAGAAAATTTTCTTTCCGACGAAATCATCAACTAGGCTGTACATTCATGTATTTATAATAAATGGGTAAGAAAGTTCCGGAATAATTTCTGGTCAAGCGTCAGATTAATAGAATTACAATTAAGAATTAAAATGCCATAATAAACAGGGGGACGGATAAAGCTCAGACAAAGCAGAATCATAATTACTGAGAAGATTGACATATTGTGCAATTAGGGGTTAGAAATGTAGAAATAACAACAATAGACAGGATGTCTGGATAAAAAATCTAGTGGGATCATAACTAATGTGACGAATAATTGTTTATGCTATCAGGAATTAAATATGGAAAAATAATAAAATACCAAAATAAACAGGAAGTTCGGTAATGAAAATATGGTAGTGTAAATAGGGATTAAGAAAAAACTTAAAATAACATGAATAAACAAGAAGTTTGGATAAGGAAGTCAATGGGATGGTCACTATTAGAAGAATTACCTGTTTATGATGGCCACGGCAAGGACAAGGGTTGAACGTATTTCTTTTGGATACATAGCATTGGTTTGAACTTTTGGATGGCTAGTGCCTCGGCTATGCCTAGATGTCTTGATTTTACTTCCTTTGATAGGTTTGGTCGAATCTTGTCTATTGTTTTGAAGGATTTTTCGAATGGCGCTGAATATCCTGAATTGACCAGATGTTCTGTATTATTATTATTGTTCCCTTGGGTTCCTAGTGGAACATAGGGCTTAAACTGCGAGCCTCCATTTACTTCTGTCTTCTGCTGTATTTTTCACTTGCATCCATGTTGATCCATACTGCTTCAGTTCCTGTTCACACGATCTCCTCCATGTCACCCTTGAACGTCCCTCTCGCCGCTTCCCTTTCGGGTTCCACTCGAGCCATGGCCTGACGCGCAATGTCACCCAACGGCCTCCTCAGCGAGTGTCCAATCCATCTCCACTTTCTCTTGCATATTTGTTGAGCGATTGGTTCTTGTTTTGTTTGTTCCCATAGTTTCTTGTTGGTGATTCTTTCCGGCCATCTGATCTTCAGTATAGAGCGAAGACAGATGTTGATAAAGGTCTGCAAACTGTTGGAGATATTCTTTGTGACTCACCAAGTTTCTGATCCGTATGGAAGAAGTGACTTGACGTTTGTATTGAAAATCCGAATTTTGTTGTTGATGCTGAGTGACGAAGATTTCCAGATTGGTCGACAGGAGCATGATTCCTCGCCAGTTCTTGCAGAGTCTTAAGTCGCCCTTCTTTGGTAGTTTCACAACGTAACCTTTTCTGCAGTCAGTAGGCACCTTTCCCTCCTTCCAGACATTTTGCAATAATGGGTTCGGCACATCTGCTGTCGTCACTAGGTCCGCTTTCTGTGCTTCAGGAGGTATTCCATCTGGTCCAGCTGCTTTCTCAGCTTTTAGAAGCTTGACTGCATTCAAGAGTTCAGCTTTCGTTGGAGGACTGGTGTCAACTTGCAGGTGTGTACACACTGTTGTTGGTATTTCTGGACGGGTTGTAGGTGATGGTCGGTTCAAGAGTCCTTCGAAGTGATCCGCCCATTGTTTAATCTGTCTTTCTTCCTTGGTAATTGCGTTCCCTTGGCTGTCTTTTATAGGTTTCACTTGTGCTGATCTTTTCCCGGATAGAGACTTGGTTATCTGATATAATGTCCTCAGGTCCCTTTTGTCTGCTGCCTTCTCAGTTTCAGTGGCCAGATTGTCGTGGAATTGTCTTTTGTCCTTCCTAGCACTCTTCTTCACTTCTTTGTCCAGTGCTGTGTAAGTTAAGCTCAGCGTCTCCTTCTCTTGTCCGTCTTTGCATTGAATCATTTTCTCTTTCACCATTCTCCTCTCTTCTATTAGCTTCCAAGTGTCCGTTGAGAGCCTTGGAAGCTAATAGAAGATGTTCTCTAACTGAACTATATATCCGTTTTCGTTCTCCTTTTACTAACCAGGCTGGATAGTGTTCACGAGTGCGTTTTTCAAGTTGGCGCATGGTACGCTCGATGTACTCAGCTCCGCAAGAGCAAGTAAACTGGTTTATGCACGTTGAAGTGGCCCAATGTGACAGCTTGTCTTTCTCGTTCTGGCCGGACAGTTTCTTTCAGGAAAACATTAGTCGTAGGCTCGTAGCGAAGTATGTTTTTCTCAGAGATTCGCAAAGGCGTTTACGAAGGATTTCTACATCAATGTTACCTTTGAGTTCTAGATTAAGTAGACGTATCTTCTTCGGGACGGACTGAACTTGTTCGGAACTCTTCTTTGATTTGAGGTTCTTGTCTATGAACCTATGAAGAAAACCGTTTTCCATCAGGGTTCTTCGGAGATTACTCAGTTCTTCATCAGTCACCTCCTCGCTGCATATCTTCCGAATCCTCGAGGGAAGAGCGTATATCAGTTAATGTCAGTAAAAAGTTTGAGCATTGTGGAATAGAGCAAATAAAGTATAATTATATCTCAATAGTTTACACACAATGATAAGTTTTGTTATTGGTGGTGTAAAAACGGGTAGTAAGTTTGCTCGAAATATTACCAGTAAAAAAACTTATCATTGTGTTTGAACTATTGAAATATAATTATACTTTATTTGAGCGTATATCAGTTTCCTCTTTCTGTTTAGGGGCACGAAACTTTCAAAAGTTGATGAGTATTCTAGTCCATGTGGACTTTTTGTATATAGACCTTTTCAGAGAGTTCTCGGCGTTTCTTGTCAGATGGACGTCGAGGAAGTGGAACATTCCGTCGGATTCAGCTTCAAGAGTAAAGTTGATGTTTTGGTGGGCATTGTTGAATGTTTTGAGTCAGTTTTCAAGGTCCAGGTTTTCATCACAAATGATGAAAGTATCATCAATGTATCTCTTTTAGAGATGGAGGTCGTCGACAGTTGATGATAAGGAGTTGTTTTCGAGGCTAGCCATAAAGCAGTCAGCCAGGAGGGGTCCGAGTGGAGAGCCCATTGCTACGCCATCTGTTTGTCTATAGATTTCATCGTTTAATCTGAAGTAGATGTTGAAAGTACAGCTCCTTTAGACAATGGATTGGTATGCCGACATCTATGCTGTTGCATTGGATGAAGTCACACAGAGAAAAAATAGTTCCTGTCAGTGGAACATTGATGAAGAGAGAGACGACGTCTACGGAGACCATCTTTTCATTTGCGAGGTTGACATTTTTAATTGAATCCACGAAATCGAATGTGTCGCGGAGGTTGTATCTCAACAACTTTTCTTTCACTGGTCCAAGAATTTCTACCAGCCACTTATGATTTGGTGATATGGCGAATTAATCATATCTAATATTGGGCGGAGTGGGACGTCCTTCTTGTGCACTTTGGGTAGTCCATACATTCGTGGCGATGTAGAACCAGATTGGCGAAGTTGTTCATATAGTTCTGTATTAATAATCGATTCATATTTTATTTTTTCAATAAGTTGGTTAGCTGGAGCTCCGTCTGTTCAGTTGGATCATTTTGGATCGTCTGTTTTTTGGAATTTGTTGTCATCAGACAGAGTTGACGAGAGTTTCTTCACATAGTCTGACTCGTTGAGCAGAACAATTCCAGAACCTTTGCCTGGTCGAGCTATTATCAGGTTTTCATTTGATTTTAATTCTTTGAGTTGCTTTCGATGTTCTTTTGAGAGCATATTACGGAGTCTAGGGTTTTGTTGATGTAGTCGAGGAAGCAATTAAAAACAGATGATTTGAAGTGTTCTGCACTTTCATATGAGATTGGGACCAGATCATTCGTCTGACTAATCAAATTCTCGAATTGTATCTTGGTGTTCAATTCGTTCACGTTTGATGATGCATCACAAAATTTTGGTCCGAGCGACAACAGTTGCATTTGAATCGGTGAAAGTGAGACATCACAAAAATTGAACACATATTTCTCGGGACAAGATGGGAAAGCTGTTTCCTTGGTGACTGATTTTAGTCTTTGGTTAGGTTTCATGATGATATTTTCCTTTCTTTTCTCTGAAACTGTATCGGCGTAGTGTTCGAATGACGCACGTTCATCAACAGTCAAATCATAAGAATGTGGGAGCTCATTGAGACGTTTTGTTCCAGTTAAGCTAATCTGGATCGGACGACATCAATGGGATTCTGGGTGTTTCTTCTGAGTGTGCGTGAATTGAGAGATATATGGAACCATTTCAGATTTTTCCAGAATGCCTTCGGGTATTTATGCTTATCCAGACAGCTTTTCCAGAAGGAAATCTTCACAAACACTTCAGCAAGCTTGACGGACAAACGTAGAAACTTGTTCAGTTCCTTTACCATCGAACGGTTCTTGCCCTTTTTC